CAAACTTTTTATAATTACACTTTTTCCCTATTTTCAACTATAAATACCCCATCATTATTTCATTTTTTCTTACAAAATCATCAATCTATCACAATCTCACTCTAATTTACTTCTATAATTGCTATTATTGCTTACTTTATTGTTNATATATATATATATACATAGTTTATAAGTCATATTCGATACTATACATCTTAAGATATACTATATATACATCTTACTATATATATATAGCTTATATATCTTAAGATGTATATATATCTTAAGATAATAAGATCTACTATACTATACTATATTTATATTTAGTATATCTAGTATAAGATGTATATATAGTATATTTTAAGATGTATACTATGTATATATAATATAGTATATATATATTTTAAGATGTATATATAGTATATAAATCGAATATAGCTTATATATCTTTATTACTATTTTTTTTCTCTAACTTCTATAAAAAAAAAATTAAAAATAGAAAGTTTCTGTTGGGCCCGTTTAGGCCAATTTGGGCCCGGGACCGGCCCACTTAACCCGGGACCGTTAGTTCGTGGTCCCGGTCCCGAGCCGGTTCCAGCAATAAGCCCGCGAAGCCCGGGACCGTTTAGGACCGGACGGCATAGGACCGGCCCACTTAGGACCGGGCCCGCGAAGCCCACTTAGGACCGGGTCCGGCCCACTTGCCACCCTTAGTTGTGACAATAGGCTGATACTGCTTGCACAAAATTTTGCGTATGTTATTAGTCAGAATATGTTTTTTTAAACCCCTCCCAATTTAGGAGAATCTATAGTGTTTTCACACTTCCTCCCACTAGGAATAAGTTGAGTTGCGACAATTGGTTGATACTGCTTGCACAAAATTTTACGTACGCTACTAGTCAATTCTAGGAATACGTTGAGTTGTGACAATAGACTGATAATGCTTGCACAAAAAATTGTGTATGCTACTAGTCAGCACTAGGAATGAGTATTTTTTTAAACCCCTCCAAATTTAGGAGAATCTATAGTGTTTTCACACTTTCCCTCACTAGGAATAAGTTGAGTTGCAACAATAAATTGATAATGCTTGCACAAAATTTTGGGTACGCTACTGGTCGGCATTTAGCACTAGGAATCATTGTATGAATATATTGTGCAATTTAAATACACATGAATGACACAGCTGAAACAATTAACAAAAACCGAGTTGCTCTGCCGTCATTGGAAATCTATTTATTGGCCAAACAAGAAAAACAAAACTGACGCGTAGATGAGTCAATAGGTCAGCATTTAGGTATATTTTTTGGAATATGGTGGNCCCCCCACGCACGCACGAGCTAAACAGAAAAATTGTTTGTACCAAATCAAATATTAATTCCGAAGAAGGTTATGTAAACGACATGTCATCCGTCTATCTGATTTGCTGCAACACCATGTGGAGGAAAAATTACTTACACTTACGTTGTGTTTGGTACCAATGAAAAATATTTTTTAATTTTCTCATGTTTGGTTAGTTTAAATATTTTAAAAAATATTTTTCAAAATTCTTTTCAACCATCCCCATCATATTCCCCATCCTCACCAACCCACCCCCACACTCCCACCTACTCACGCCACCCCACCCTACCCCTACCTTAAATAAAATATTATTAATAGTACTTTCTTTTCATATTATAGATAGATTATTTTTTTTATTTCAACAAATGAGTATTTTCTTTTCATGATATAAAAAAATATTTTTTTCATTATAACAAAAAAAGTACTCTCTTTTCATGATGTTAAAAAAGTATTTTCTTTCATTTCAACAAAATGATGTAGTAAAAAGTATTTTCTTTCATTACAACAAAAAGAGTATTTTTCGTAATGTAGAAAAAGCATTTTCTTTCATTTCAACAAAAATAGTATTCTCTTTTCATGATGTAGAAAAAATATTTTTTTTTCATTTCAACAAAATGAGTATTTTCTTTTCATGATGTAGAAAAAGTATTTTCTTTTATTTCAATAAAATGAGTAATTTATTTTTATGTTGTAGAAAGAGTACTTTCTTTTTCAACCAAAAAAAGAGTATTTTCTTTTTGGTTATGGAGCACAAATTTCAACGTTGCTTTTGCGTAAAAAATTAAAGCAACACATTAGTTCCTTTGGGTTTGTGTGAATTTTTAGAAAAATAATTAAATTTTTGAAGAAAATAGAGTTCCAGAAACATTGAGTATTTGAGGGGGGGAGCAAGGAAACATGTGGACTTGGGGGACGTGAGAAGAGTAGGATAAAAAAATATTTTCCTAAAAAAATATTTGCTAGCCTCTAACCAAATATTAGAAAATATTTTCCGGAAAAAGTTTTTCACTCACCAACCAAACAAGGGAAAATAAGTGATAAAACAACTCATTTTCCATGAAAACATTTTTCATGGCAAACATTTTCCAATTTAACCATGCTAGTCACAAATTAAAGTGAAAATACTTATCACTTAGCTATGGTTAAGTAACAAAAATTTATATGCAAGACATATATCTTAGATTCATTTGTTTAGTGTAAACATTAGGTGCGAGTAAGTTTTTCTCCGCATGGAAGTAAGTATTTTCCAAGCTCACAGTCATGTGAACATGGGCGGAGGGAGAGTAGAATCTACAGGTTCCGCCCAACCCAATAACTTTGGTCCAAATTATATACGGAGTATTTGTCTTAAAAAGTTCATTAAATATGTATAAATTATTATTTTTAGAACCCAATTACTTAAAAGATTTAGAATCTCGAACCCATAAGTTTCAAATCCTTACTACGAATCTCCCGGCGAATATGCTTTGCATTTTATGGTATCTAATTCTTTGATAAATCATAAAACCACCATTGCTTTTAGGAGAATTTACATACTTAAAGCAAAGAAAGATTTTGACCCCTCTCTCTCTCTCTCTCTCTCTCTCTCTCTCTCTCTTTATTTTAAGCTTCTAAATTTTATTTTTGCCGTTATGGTAAAAGACAAACTTATGCCAATATGCAATCCAAGAGTAGAAAGTAATAAAATTATATAAAGTTGTGGTGGTTAATATTTGTCGGGAAAAAGTAACAATGATAGTAACGAAACTTCCCAAGTGAACACTTTTTGCCATATATATTGTACGAGTTTCCAGTAAATATACTCAACTTTTCACAATGGTACAAATATATATAGATTTCATACGAACATGGTATTGTCTCAAAATTGATCTTAAAACCAACTTAGCATTTATTGCTTCTGTAGTTGTAGTTGGTTACTTTTTTTTTTTTTTTTTGTTCATGTGCAAATCTCACGTCAGAAATCCATATTTGCATATAATAAGATGCATGGAAATTTATTTATTCAGTTATATATAATTTTAAACGCTGGAGCTATTATATAGTGAACACACAAGTTGCTATACTCTGGTGGAAAATTGGTCGAAATTATGAAGAGCTAAGATTTTTCAGATGACTGTGTTCTGGAGCTGAAAATAACAAAACAAAGAAGGTAAGTTCCAACTTCTGCTTTTATAAGTTTGTTTGAAAATCTGAATTTGCTCCTTAATTTAGCTAGTTCTGCTGACATGTTTTGCTCTTTTTTAAGTTCATGTTAGTTCTGTAAAATTCCATTGCTCAATCTTCTGTTCTTTTGGTGAGCAAATGCAAAAAATAAAGATTCTATTTTGGATTGGCTGTCATTTCAAGTGGCAGCTGTAGAAAAGTGGAGAAAAGGTTAAAATGTCATAGCTCTTCCTGAGTCCAATGATAGGGAATATAACTTTTTGTATAGAAAAATAAAACTCAAATAAGAGAAAAGGAAAAAGAGATTGTGCTTTTGGTTCAGTGGTATAAATGTGAAGGTTAGTGAAATTTAACTATTCAGTGTGACTGTTAAGCAAAAGTGCTGCTACAAGTTTGGAGATGATTGTTTGTGAGCTGCTTTCTCTTTATCTTTTTATCTGAAAGTAGGACTATAATTGACTAAGGTAAATGCTCCTTATCTTAACATTTTATTGGATTTTAAATGCCTTGTACATTTAAAGATGCTTTCTCTGTACCTTTAATTGATTAAGGAAAATACTCTCTATCTTCTGAAGGAAACAACAGCTTTGAAAGAACAATGATTAGCATTTTCAGCTGTTGCCATCTTGCAATTACAATGTGATTCTTTGTTGAAATTATATTTCTTGATAATTATTTAGTCTCCGGGAAATTTTCTTAATAACGAACATGCAATGAACATGAAATATTGTATAGTATTAGTCTTAGAGCCCGTTTGGATTGGCTTATTTTAAGTACTTTTAAGCCAAAATAGTTTTTAAGCCATTTTGTAGTGTTTGGATAAAGTAAAAAAGTGTTTTTAAACACTTGTTTTTAAGTTAAAATGACAAAAATAAGTCAAAAGCAAAAAGCTAGAATTTCTAACTTATGGCTTTTGGCTTAAAAGTCGCTTACAACAAGCCCATCCAAACGGGCTCTTAGCTTAAATGGATCGAAATGATCAGCGAGGAACGGAGGATTCATATAGCCGACTCCACTTGCTTGGGACTGAAGGCATAGTAGTAGTAGTTGCTGTTGTTATGACTTATGAGCATCCAATGAACCTCTCCTGTTATCTTTCTTCTTCTGAAACTCTTACATGATTGTTGCACATTAGTTGATACAGTATCAAGAATCTGATAAATACCCCCACGCCCCCTCCTCCAAACCATGCCTTTTTTAATTAGTTATTCTTTTTTAAGTTTCATCAGGGATAACCATGGATCTCTGGCTGATTTTCTGTGGGAAATATGAATGTTCTCAGAAAGCCGGAGAGAGTTGTACTTCAGCTTTTACAACTTTCCTTGAGTCATCCTCATGCACCAACCACATATTCGTCATTTCTGCGGATATCCTTCTTCTGATGATTCTTGTTTTCCTCTTTTCTACCAAGTTCTCGTCAAGAAAGAGTGTGTCATCCTCTGAATTTCAAGGCAATTCTGTCTTGTCAAGTTGTTCCTACATTGTCAATGGCAGTTTAGCTTTAGCATACTTGTGTTTTGGGACATGGAAAGTTTCACAGAAAATCATCACGGATCAAACTATTCTACCTCTCCTTCAATGGCTGGTTCCGCTGTTACAAGGGCTCGCATGGTTGCTGCTAAGTTTGTTTTCTATCAAGAAACAAGATACTTCTTCACTGGGAAAGTTGTGTCTTTTTCTAGCAAGCTTACTAGCAGGATTTCTTTGCATTTCATCCATGTGGCAAGTAATTGTCAAAAAGATAGTGCACACAAAATCAGTCTTGGACTTGTTACCACTGCCGGGGGTGATTCTGATGATTGTTTCTGCGTCCAAAGGCCAAAAGAATTTATGCACTTGTGAACCTCTGTTGGGAGAAGGAACCGATGCCTGTGGTAAAGTTGATTCAAAGGAGAATACAACTCCATTTGCCAAAGCTGGAGTTTTTAGCACAATGTCATTTTTCTGGTTGAATGATTTATTGAAGAAGGGAAAGGATAAAACTCTAAATGATGAGGACATTCCAGAATTGAGGCGAGAGGATCAAGCTGGGACATTGTACTCTTTGTTTAAGGAGCAACTAAATAAAAGAAAGCAAAAAAATTCATATTCTCGGCCTTTTGTATTTTCAACGATAGTCTTCTGTCAATGGAAAGCCATTGTGGTATCTGGATTCTTCGGTCTGATTAAGACAGTGACGGTGTCAATAGGACCGTTGTTTCTTTATGCCTTCATTGAAGTTGCCAAAGGAAAGGGAGCTTTCAAATATGAAGGTTATGTGTTAGCTGGGGGAATCCTTATCGCCAAATGCATAGAATCATTAGCAGAGAGGCAATGGTTTTTCAGGACTAGATTAATCGGCCTTCAAATTAAATCTTTGCTTACTGCAGCTATATATGATAAGCAACTCCGGCTTTCAAACACTGCTAAGAGTACTCATTCATCTGGTGAGATAATAAACTATGCCACGGTTGATACCTATAAGATTGGTGAATTTCCGTATTGGTTTCACCAAATATGGACAACGGGTGTTCAGATATGCATTGCATTAGTCATAATGTATTATGCTGTGGGACTGGCTACCATACCGGCTATACTATTAGTGGTAGCAAGTGTGCTAGGAAATTCTCCAGTGGCCAAATCACAGCACAAGTACTTGACCGGGCTTATGGTTGCGCAAGATAAAATGCTAAGGGCCATAACAGAAGCACTTACTAGTATGAAAGTGTTGAAGTTGTACGCGTGGGAGAAACATTTTAAGAATGCTATTGAAAAGCTAAGAGAAGAAGAATACAAATGGTTATCAGCAGTTCAAATGCAGAAAGGCTATTACCTGGTTTTGTTTTGGTCAACACCAATCATAGTATCTGCAGTTACTTTCTGGTCTTGTTACTTACTCAAGGTCCCCCTGAATACCACTAATGTCTTCACATTCCTTGCCACTTTACGCATCGTTCAGGAACCTATTAGGTCAGTCCCCGATATTCTTGGAGTATTCATAGAAGCGAAAGTCTCCTTCACTCGAATTGAGGAATTTCTCGAGGCTCCTGAGTTGCATAACAGACGTATTGAGAAGAAGTACAAGGAGAAGGAACTTGAGCATTCCATAATTATCAAGTCCAATGGGATATCATGGGATGCGAATTCGCCTAATCCTACAGTGAAAAGTGTAAACCTTCATGTTAAACCAGGGCAAAAGTTAGCAATATGTGGAGAGGTTGGTTCTGGTAAATCAACGCTTTTAGCTGCAATTCTCGGAGAAGTTCCTTTCGTTGATGGCCTAGTAAGCTTTACATTAGCTTCTCATTCTCTTTTAAATGCCAAATTGTTGTGTAATACTTGGATCTCAGCAGAGAAGAGTAGTTTGGTGTTAAACCTGTTTCATTCCCTTCTCCATTTTCAGGTTCAAGTTCACGGAACAGTGGCATACGTTTCTCAGAATGCATGGATTCAGACAGGAACAATAAGGGATAACATTCTTTTTGGTTCCAACATTGATCAACTCAAGTATCAAGAAGTACTTGAAAGGTGTTCTCTTGTCAAGGACCTTGAAATGTTTCCTTTTGGTGACGAAACGATTATTGGAGAAAGAGGTGTTAACCTTAGTGGCGGACAGAAGCAGCGAGTTCAGCTGGCACGTGCACTGTATCAAGATGCAGACATATATCTCTTGGACGATCCATTCAGCGCAGTTGATGCACATACCTCAACCTGTCTGTTTAATGTAAGAACCCTTATCTTTCTGAACTAAAAACTGAAAAGTATTTCGTGAAACTGCTAACTTGGAATATGATCAGGAATATGTCATGGGAGCTCTTTCCGGAAAGACAGTCTTGCTTGTTACTCATCAAGTAGACTTCCTTCCGACATTTGATTCAATATTGGTTAGTAATCTTATTCTGCATATTATCTCATAATTACAAGCTTGATCTCATATACTATGTATGATATCGCATTTATTTCTATGAGTTTGTTTGCCTGACTTTTTCGAACAGTTTGTGCGTAAGTTGTGGATCTAAGAGAGCTTTATTTTGTTAATAGCTAATGTCTGAAGGGAAGATCATACAGTCAGCTTCCTTTGATCAGTTGCTTCTTTCTTGTGAAGAGTTTCAAAACCTCATTAATGCACATGGCGACGCAACAAAAAGTGAGAGTAATGGAGGGTGTTCCCTCAAAGAAACAACCAAAAGCTCCAAAGAAAATATACATCAATTGTGTGCAGAAGAGCAGCTAATAGCAGCTGTCGGTGAGCAGTTGATCAAACAAGAAGAAAGAGAAACAGGATACACGGGTCTTAAGCCTTATAAACAATATGTTGGCCAAAGCAATGGATTTTTCTACCTTCTTTTGGCTATATTATCACACCTCCTATATATGGTTGGGCAGCTTGGACAAAATCTATTGTTAGCTGCTGATTTACAGAGTTCAAGTATCAGCAAATTTAATCTCATCCTAATATACACATCCATAGGATTTGGTATGTCACTAACTTTGTTCCTTAGGTCCTATGCAGTGATTGATTTAGGCCTCAAGTCTTCAAAATCTATTTTTAGTAAGTTAATAACCTCAATATTCCGAGCACCAATGTCATTCTACGACTCAACCCCACTTGGAAGAATACTTAGTCGGGTAAGAAACGACGACCTAAGCTAGCCTACAAACAACAATGCAAAGTTTATATGGAACTAACATAGTCTTCTTTTGCAGTTGTCTTCAGACCTCAGTGTTTTGGATCTTGACATGTCATTTAGATTCAGTCAAGCCTTGGCCTCAACCTTGACCACATACTTCAGCTTAGCAATATTGGCTGCTCTTACCTGGCCAATCTTGATGGTCATTATACCAACGATTTATATGACAGTGATTTTACAGGTGAGGCTATTAACTACATTAAGCTGCAGACGCCGAAAAACTCTATTGACTGCCTACTTAATATTGTAGTTCACTGTTTTATTGTTCTGCACAGAGATTCTATTTTGCTTCAGCAAAGGAACTTATGAGGATTGATGGCACAACTAAGTCATCTGTTGCTAGCCATCTTGCTGAAGCGATATCGGGAGCAATGACCATCAGAGCTTTTGAGGAGGAGGACCGTTTTTGCAAAGAATATTTGTACCTTATTGATAGAAATGCCATTGCCTTTTTCCATAGCTTTTCAGCAACCGAGTGGTTGATCCAACGTCTTGAAATACTCTGTGCCATAGTTCTCTCGTCCTCAGCCTTAGCCATGGTCTTGCGTCCCTTCGAAGCTTCTGATTCAGGTAATGAGTTTATCTTATTTTGACCTTAACATTAAATGAAACTAGAACAAAATGAAGTTCAGTTCATATACCAAGACTTTGGCAACTTATTTTCAGGATATATTGGCATGGCTCTATCATATGCTCTTTCGTTAAACGTATTCCTAGTTTCTTCCGTCCAAAACCAATGCATGCTAGAAAATTCCATCATTTCCATAGAAAGATTAGAGCAATACATGCATATTCCCAGCGAACGCCCTGAAATAATAGAAGGCAATAGACCTGCTCCCGGTTGGCCTTCCACCGGTAAAGTTGAGATTGTTGATTTAAAGGTTAGTATCCTAATGCCTGAGCTATTCATACCCCTTTCTTCACTGAAGTAATATAAAGCTTACAGTGTGTATATTTCAGGTCAGATATCAACCCAATGCTCCACTAGTTTTACAAGGCATTAGCTGTATAATTGAAGGTGGATATAAAGTTGGAATTGTAGGCAGGACAGGTAGTGGCAAAACAACTTTTATAAGTGCGTTGTTTCGCTTGGTAGAGCCAACCGAAGGAATTATCATAATAGATGGCCTAAATATTTCAACCATCGGGATTCATGATCTTCGAACTTCTATATCGATCATTCCACAAGATCCAACACTTTTTAGCGGGACTGTTAGATACAATCTTGACCCTTTGTCAGAGCATACTGATCAGGAAATATGGGAGGTAACATATTTTTGTATCTATCGCCCTTTTACTATATATCAGATTCAACGCTTCTATCCAAACATGTAATTGCTTAAACGCTTATTTCCCTTGTCATGGGTGCAAGGTTTTGAGGAAATGTCAACTTCGAGACGTTGTTCATCAAAAAGAAGGAAGACTAGACTCCTCAGGTTAGACAAACAACATAACCTGATAATGTGTTGAATCCTCTATGATATGAAAATTATACTAACAATCAGTAATACATACAGTGGCACAAGATGGATCAAACTGGAGCATGGGACAAAGACAATTATTCTGTTTAGGAAGAGCATTATTGAAAAGAAGGAAAATATTAGTGCTTGACGAAGCCACTGCATCAATTGATAATGCAACAGATTCCATAATCCAGAAAACCATAAGGACAGAATTTGAGGACTGCACAGTTATAACAGTAGCTCACAGAATCCCAACTGTTATGGACTGCACTATGGTTCTTGCTATAAGTGATGGTAAGGTTCAAGAAAACAACTTCTATATTTCGGGTGTGCTTGGTACGACAGAAGTCATTTTTTAAAAAGTTCTTTTTACGAGCAAGTCATTTTCTAGTGTTTGGTTAACTTCTCTCACTTTTGGGCAGAAGCATTTTCCGTCAGAACTGTCTCAACTCTTAACTTCGTGTCCTTATTGTCAGTTTTTATTACTCAAAAATTTCATCAAATCTCTAATTTGCTAATATTATTACTAATTTTCAATTTATATTTTTTTGGAAAATCTCTCTCACTCACCAACCTAATATTGGAGAATATTTTTTTTTTAATGAAAAATGACTTCCGTTGCATCTAACACACTCTTCATTAAAGAATGTTATAAATGGTTTCATGTGAATTTACAAAAATATTGAAATGTTTAATTACATTTTTTTTACAGGGAAGCTGGTAGAATATGATGAACCAATGAATCTTATGAATAAGGAGAGTTCATTATTTAGGCAGCTTGTTAATGAATATTGGACACGTTCTCAAGGGTCGATATGAGTCTGGAATGGAACTCATGAATATGGATTTTAAGTTATATATACGATGTAAATAAATTTTACATTATTAGTGTTGTTAGCCGCTTATAGTGTGTTAATTATCTGTTTTTCGAGTTACCAATTCATACCTACTAGACATTAATTTACCATTAGCTTTTAACTAAAATAGTGTAAAAAATCTTTACGTTTGAAAAGGCATGGATTTGAATTTCTCTTCAGTTTACTTTCAAAATTTAGCTATGTAATCATAGGCAAAATATGGTGAAAATCCAATAGGTTGTACATGCTTGTATAATGTATAGTATCATCATCATATCATAAAGGCCATATATACCCATGTACTATCAGAAAATATTTAATATACCCCTCGTTATACTTTGAGTCTAAATATGCCTTTGTCGTTATACTATTGGTTCAAATATATTCCTTTTCTGTCAAGTTTGTGCAAAATGGACATCTAATCCTATGTGGCACTGACATTTGATCAGGTGTGTGAGCACCTAATTTTTGACTATATTTGAATTTTTATCACCTTCTACTATGTAAATTTTTTCAGAATTTAATATATATATTTTTTAGCTTTGTTACACTTATACATATATATATATATAAAAAAAATTATTAATAATTTAAAAGGTAAATTATTACTATTAGTATTATTTTTATTATTATTTT